TTTCTTCAACAGCAAACATATAATATTTTAACAAAACAAGCATATGTCCCTCGTTTCTCACATTTATCTCCAGACCTCTTCTCCTTGTCCAGATCTGTTCCGTCCCCAACAATCTTCTATTCACTGAACTTTTTGAAACTTTGCACTTTTAGAGAGAGGTAAGGGATTGACTGATTGACTCTGTGTTCACAAATTTGTAGAGGGACAATAGAGTTGAGGTCTGTTATTTCTCACCTCTATATATTTATTTATTTATTTATTTTATGTATTTATTTATTTAAAAACATGTTTGCTGTTAACAAGCATGTTACCTCTGGAGACACAAATCCAGTTTGAGAACTACAAAACTAAGCATCTCTGATTGACACTGGACTGAGCACTGAGTCCATTGGGTGGATAGAAAGATTAACCTAAATAATCTATACAGAAGCCTGTGGAACCCCATAAAATTGGGTCCCTAATCCATGAACTATTGGAACTCACTCACAAAACTTTTCTTAAACATTACATGAATATATTGTCTCATACTATAGAATTAGAATTTATAATCCCTATTCCATTATGAGATATATTAGAGCTACAATGAATCTTAATTAAAACTATATTTAGATATGGTTTTTCCTCGAGAAGCATTTTATCAAAAAAAAAATCCAAATTTATTTATTTATTTTAAATCATTGATTTTTATCCACCCCATCAGTGTTCCTTTTTAGATTGATATGAATGAGCCCTGCACTTGAAGCATAGTGCTAAACGTGATTGGACTCACATCTGCCATTAGTTTTTGCTTTCTAATTACTGGATCAATTATTAACTTTCTAAAGACAATGTCACAATAGTATTTAGTTAGATCCAACATTAAAATCTGCTTTATTTATTAAAATCAAATCAAATCTTCAACTCCTTAATAAGATACCTTGAGAAAGGAAGTTAATTTATTTTATACTGTATTGACATTGTTCCTTGCTAGGCGGCTTGTACTTAGAGAATAGAAAACACTTGGTCAAACATAGATTGTTAATATTTAATTTCATGATGATGATGATTTTGTTAAAAGACTTAAGTGGTCAGTGTGATCAAACCTGAGTTTCACTAGTGTTTTAAGGAATAAGTAATTGAAGGTATGGCACTTAACTAGCTCCATTACAATTTGCTATTAAGTCAAACCATTCTTCCTTCAAAAACTAGTGCTATTGTTATAGTTTATAAATGCTTAATAAAATTAGCTTAAGTAAAACTACAATTGTTGTTATTGGACTGAAAACTGCAGAGACGTACTAAAGCTGTGATGGAGCCCGCCATGCTTATCCTTGCCTCACTGCTACAGAGGCCCCTCTGTAGAATGGGCACTGTACAGAAATTTGGGTGCAGTTACAGGGGAGGGTTTAGTTAAGGCAGACCCCTCACATCCAAAGTAATATATCAAAAGCAATGCATGCAGACTATGCCTCTAGAATAGGGGACTGTATTCTGGAAAGTAGCGATTCTGGCATGGTGAATAAGCAGCTCGACTATCAGCTCCCAGTCCTTAGCTGTGTCAAAAAGAGCTAATGTGATCTTTGGATATATAAATGGGAGTAGTGAACAGGAGCAGAGAGGTGAACAGCATTGGTGAGACTGATACTGGAATGCTGCATACAGTTCTCGTGTCCACATTTTAAAAAGGATTTGGAAAAACTGGAGAAGGTGAAGAAAAGATCTACAAAAATGGTCTGAGGCTGAAGGAAATGCCTTGAGCCTTAAAGAACTCAGTCTGTTTGTCTTATCAAAAAGAAGATTGAACAGGTACTGACCATTGCTGCCTCAGAGTTCCTCTCCTTCCGTGACGATGACCTTTTGAGGTATAGTATGATGTCCTTATGAAGCAACAGGCAAAGACTAGCTTTGTTGGAGAGAGAACTTTCACTGGAACTGGTCCAAGCCTATGGCATTCATAGCCAGACAGAATAAGAGAGATCCCCACTCATTGCATTCTTAGCCAATTGTAAAACCCATCTCTTTGGCTTGTGGCAACCCTTTTCAACAAATGAGCATTCTCTCGCGTTGTCTTTAAAAAAGCCCAACAAAGCTGTTAAGCTTGTTCCTGCTACCGGGGCTGGAAGAAAGATGTTTCTTCTTACTTTTCATGAAAGGTGCTCAGATAACAAAGGTCGGCAATTTAAAAAAACCTAGATTGCCTGCTAACCCTTCTTACTTGCGTCTTCTCCCTTGATATCAAACAACAACAAAATAAGGCTGCTGGTCCCATATGGAGCCCACGGCACTTCAGTGGGGCTCTCCAGGGATGCAACAGTCAACTTACATATAGCAAATTGTGGGATCAAGGCATTAAATATTTTGAAGTACCTTGTTCCCAGCACTATGCTTTCCCAACCCCCCAATACCGTCCTCTGGTTTGTAAGTAGAACTGGGTGAATGCTGCAAAAAATATAATAAAATATTAATTTGACTTTTCAAGCACGTTTGCTTTGATTTGGTGTTTATTTTTTTGTGCCTGTGTAACCTACCAGTGTTTCCAACACGGAAGGAAGCAAACTACTGGAGGCAAAATTACACACATTTATTTTAAAAATTGAGAAAGTAACTTTGACATGAAGAGTTTAGGGCTTCTGTGGGGAAAGTGTGCTGTGCTGAGAATTATTATCATTGTCTTCCTTTCCTTGTCAAACTTTGCTGTTAATGTTGGGGTACATGAAAGAAGTGAGTTGGTGTTCCAAGTGCCAGCAGAGTGTAGGTAGGGATCTAGTATAAATGGATTTTAATTCTGTTTTCAAGCTGCACTTCCTAATATTCTTAAAAGCATTTTGACAAGAGAATTAATACTTATTAATAACTGGCAGCTAGTGCAAAGATTAAAAAAAGTAAGGAGGGTGAAAACCTTGCTTGAAAGAATTTAAAAGGGAGCAATTGTAATTGACTGTGGTTTGAAGAAGGTAAGAGGATATACCTATGGTAGTAGGTAAGAGGATATTGCTATGATGTAGAAGCAACTGTATACACCAGGGGTGGCCAGAAGTTAATATGCGTCTCTTTGCATAGGCACTGACTCCATGGCTGGAGCTACAGGTGCCAACTTTCCAATGTGCTGGGGGGTGCTCACTGCTCAACCCCTAGCTCTGCCACAGCCCTGCCCCCACTCCACCCCTTCCCAACCCCTCCCCTGAGCCTGCCATGCCCTTGCTCCTCCTCCTCCTCCACAGAGCCTCCTGAACACCACGAAACAGCTGAGGGGGAGGTGCTGATCGGCGGGGCTGCCATTGGGCAGGAGGCACTGGGAGCCGGGGGGGAGAGTGCTGATGGGGGGCTGCTGACGTATTACTGTGGCTCTTTGGCAATGTACATTGGTAAATTCTGGCTCCTTCTCAGGCTCAGGTTGGCCACCCCTGGTATACACCATAGAATTATTACTCTCATCTGTATTAATAAAGGTAAATTGGAATGTAAATGAGGATAGAGGATTTAATCCCTCCCAGACACATTTAATAAGAAATGGAGGGCCAGTGAGACAATCTGAGAGGAGAGGGATATGGTATTCCTCACTGGGGCAAGCACTGGTGCCAGCATTGAATGACCAAAGAGGAACACCAGAAATCTCTTTGGAGGAAGTGCACTTAGAGTGTGCACATTGCATTGTGGTGAAAGACGGAAACAAATACATATATATAAATTAAGCTAAACTTTGTCCCTTTTTAGTCATGCTATTTCCATGTATTTAAAAGAAATTAGCATTTTGATCAGTTAAATTAACTGATTTGTGGAAGCACTAGATTCAGCGGGTAGACATGAAGGGCACTGAAAACGATTTAAATTTTCCAGACCTCTTTGTACAAGAATAATTTCAGCACCTGAATTTCCAACATAATTTCATAGAAACATTAAAACTGCCATACTATAGCATACCAGTGGTCCATCTATTGCAGTATCCCACTCTAAAAGTGGTCAGTTTCAGTAGTTCCACAAGAAGATGCAAGAAACCTTATACTGAATCTTCCATAATTGTCCTTCCTAATGCCTTCAATTAGTGGTCAGTTTATTCTCTGAATTACAGAGTTTTATAACTACATTTTAAAATGCTCTAGTAAAGTAACTATGGATGTTCACATTAGCCATGTAAATGTCAAATTGTTTTTTGAACTTACTAAGCTCTTGGGCTCAATGCCATCTTGTGCCAGTGAGTGCAACAGTCTTGCCCTACCTCCAATTATTTTCACTCCCCGTTGTAGGATACCTTTTATTTATGCTGTATCTGTTTAGAGATAGGAGCACTTTCATTTTTTTTCTTTTTAATGAAGTTGTTCATATCCAGCTTGCATAACTTGCATGCTTTTATACAACAGCATTTTATTTTTCTTATACAAAGAAAAGGACAGAAGTGGTGGAGCAGAGGAATGGGTTTGTTGGAATCATTTGTGTTTAATGTATGCAGAAAACGGAGTTGGAGATTCAGAAGTGCCCTGTAAAATCTAAAAGAGCGGGGTGGGTGTAATAGTTACTGAGCATGCTTACTAGCATTCCTTAAAGTAATATAGAAAACCTCCATTATGGCAAGCAGTTCTGTATGTCTGATGTATCCTCAGTCTTCAGAGCTGGGCCAGGACTCTAGGTTTATAGGTTTCAATGCCATGTTTACCCCTTGTTCCTCACATTGTGGTGTGGTTTTGGTTTTGCTCTTTGTTTTAGTTTTAAGATTGCAAGCTCTTTCGGGCAGGGACCATATCTTCATAAATATTTATACAGTGCTTGAGACAATGGGGATTCAGTTGTGACTGGGGTTGCCAGGCTCTATGATAATAATAATAATAAAGTTGGATATAGTGTTTAGGTGTTTTGATTATTTGGAATGTCTGCAAGGTTGTTGCATGCACCTACAACCTGCATTTAATGGGCTCACAAATATTAAACATTTTTTAACTAATAATCTTAGTTTTGGTGTATGTGGGTGGGAATTACCTGTTTCTGTGATAAAGCCTTTGTGAGCCATTCTTTTTCTCTTCATGCAGACCATTGGAACGTTCCAGTGAAGATGTAGATATTATATTCACCCGACTGAAAGAAGTGAAAGCTTTTGAGAAATTTCATCCAAACCTTCTCCAGCAGATATGTCTCTGTGGATACTATGAAAATCTGGAAAAGGGAATCACATGTAAGTTGTTTCATAATATATTAGACCAGGATTCCCTTCTAGGGACAGATAAGGCAACAGTATATATGGGGAATCCTGTTGAAGAAATCTACATTGCTGGGACAGAGTTGACTGAACTTCTATATGAGTCCCTGGAGGCAGTGTTCCCTAGTGGATAGAACATTGGACCAGGACTCTGCCACTGGTTGGCTGGGTGGCCTTGAGCAAGTCCTGTCTCCTTCTGATGTCTCCATTACCCTGTCTGTAATTGGGGATAATGATGCTTACCTCCTTTGTAAAGTGCTTTGAGATGTACGGATGAAAGGCAGTGCATAACAGCTATGTATTAGTATGTGACCTGCAGTCTCCCTTGTTAATACAGAAGCCTTCAATCTTGCAGCAAGTTGCCAATGCAGCATTAGCTTGCGCAGACTTTTAGAACAGAAAAGATGCCACAAAAATACCAAAACAGCAAGCAGTAAAAATGAGTTATTTGTCTAAAATTACTTTCAGAGAAATACATATCCGATAGATTTATAATGTGTACACAGTATGAACACCATTTAAAGTAGGTATTAACACAAAAATGGTGATCTGTGCTACAGAAATTATTCACACAAACATTGACCTATTGCTTTTGCAGGCTTGTGTGCCTTTGCTTGGTCTTTTACAGTCATAAGATGGATTTTTTGTGTTTTGTTTTTGGTATACATCTAGTTAATGTATCTAGACCCATTCTAAAGCACACATCAATATAGTACATACATCCTCTATATTTTACTTTAATATTAAATAGCATGAAATAAAGTTGATTCTCAGCATAAACTTTATTAAAGCACAAGAGGAATCCACAAAAGTAGCATTGTAGATAAATATTTTAACAGTCTTTTCTGAAACAGAGTTATAGGGACCATCCCCAGAAAGAGAGAAGTGAATTATCTCCTTGTATTTCTCCTGATAAGGGTATTTTCTAAATATCTTTGGTTTCTATTCTCTATTATTTTTCCTGATGGGAATCAGATAATAGTAGCAACATAACAAAGACGTGTGGATCTCACTGTAATATAAAGTTCCATTTAGGAATGGTTAATAAAGGGTTAGCAAATGATCAATAGATGTTATAAGCATATTACAGATATAAATAGAATGTGTTATAAATTATTATACGCCATGGTTATAAGCAACCTGCTGATCTGTTGGACTGTATAACTATCTAAAAAAATTGATTAAGCATTTTTTAAACATCTGTTAATTTATTAACCTTTTATAAAAATAATTTTCATATAAAGTGTGACTGATGAGGGAAGTCAATAAATATTTCAAATTTCAGAGGCACCATGGTAAACGCAAGTTCAGAGGACCTTTTTATTAACTAGGATAGCAGAAAAAAGAAAAGCAAACAAGAAAGGTGGCCTGAAATATTGCTATCTATTTTCATTTGTACTGAGATTCTATGTATGGATACCCTAAAGCTGGTATGCTGCGGTTTCACTGGGTATCTTAGCAGATAGATAAATAATCCGATATGGTATGGCGAATCCTATGGTGCTAGCAGTCTGCACAGTAATACATCAACATGAAAACAACGTTTGTCAGCATTGTTAGATATGTTTACAATAACAGTGTATATTTACAATATTTCATCTTTCTAGTATTTCGTCAGGGTGATATCGGAACAAATTGGTATGCTGTTTTGGCAGGATCACTGGATGTTAAAGTTTCTGATACGAGCAACTACCAGGTAAAAATACAACTGTTCTTTAAAACAACCCAGTTGCATGGCACAAAGAAATATTACAAACTACATAAAAGGGCTAGATGAAAATGGTCTGCATAGTGTCAATACTTTGCTCTTTTGTCCATCATAAGCATGCTGGTGTTAGCCGCGTTTTCTTCTGTTTAAATTTACTTTTTGTCTTTTTGCTCCTATAAAAGGCAACCCATGTTCTTGATTTAGGGGAACTGAAATTTAATAATCTGAAAGAGGATCTGGATCTGAATGTAAAATAGGAATCACCAGTCTGTCATATTGTGGGTTCGCATGAAGTGCAGCTCAAGGTCTAACTTTTTGAATTGAATTCCATGGAAAAAATGTATTTTTGTCCTTTACTTAAGAGGTTTAAACTGAAGCCCCAGCCATTGCAGTTTGCTGATCCTGACTGTCAGGAAGCAAGGCCTGCAGAGCCGCACCCTAATGAGCACAGCTGGCCTGTAGTAGGCTGCCTGATTGGTTGGAAGAGTCAGCAGACCAGCTCTTAAGCCTAGCAGCAGTTTAGTGGCTGCTCAAAGCATTTGCCCATGGCTGTGCTAGCAAGTCTGCTTGCTCACAGCCGTGTTCCTGCTTTATTCCAGCCTTGATTTAGTTTTTCCTTGGATCCAGTCTTGCTCCTGCCTTGGCCTTAGCATTGCCCCTGCTTTACCTTGCTCCAAGTAACCTGGTCTTAACCCTCAGCTTGGGTTGCCAACTTTCTGATTTGCAGAAAACCGAATACCCTTGCCCTACCCCTGCCCTGAGGCCCTGCCTCCTGCTCACTCCATCCCCCCACCCTTGTCGCTCACTCTCTCCCACCCTTGCTCACTTGCTCATTTTCACTGACAGGAGGTTGGGGTGCAGGAGGGGGCGAGGGCTCCATCTGGAGGTGTGGGCTCCAGGCTGGGGCCAGGGATGAGGGGTTTGGAGTGTAGGAGGGGGCTCCAGGCTGGGGCAGGGAGTTGGGGTGTGGGCTGTGGACTGGGGGTGCAGGCTCTGGGGTGGGTCCAGAAATGAGGGGTTCAGGGTGTGGGAGGGGGCTCAGGGCTGGGGCAGGGGTAGGGATGCATGCTCCAGGACGGAGTTTGGGTATGGAAGGAGGCTCAGGATTGGAGTTTGGGAGGGGGCTCAGGGCTGGGGCAGGGAGTTGGGGTGTGGGCTCTGGGTGGTGCTTACCTCAAGCGCTTATCTCAGGTGGTGGGAAGCGGCGACATGTTCCTCTGACTCCTAGGCGCAGGGGTGGCCAGGGGTCTCCACACGCTGCCCCTGTCCTCAAGCACCGCCCCCGCAGCTTCCACTGGCTGCAGTTCCTGGTTGGCTGCAGTGGCCGGCTCTGCGTGGCTCCCGGAAGCGGCCGGCATGTCCCATTGGCTCCTAGGCACAGGAGTGGCCAGGGTGGCTCTGCGTGCTGTCCCAGGCACAGGCGCTGCCTTGAGCCCCGGCTCCGCAGCTCCCTCTGGCCGGGAACTGTGGCTAATGGGAGCTGTGGGGGCAGTGCCTGCAGACAGGGGCAGCATGCGGAGACCCCTAGCCGCTCCTGTGCCTAGGAGCCAGTGGAACGTGCTGGCCGACTCCAGGAGCCGCGCGGAACCGTCTGCTGCGGCAAACTGGACTTTTAGTGGCCCATTCAGCTGTGCTGACCAGAGCTGCCAGGGTCCTTTTTTGACTGGGCGTTCCGGTTGAAAACCGGACGCCTGGCGATGCTACCCTCAGCTCTGATTCCAGACTTCTGTCTCTGGCTCTGGCATCTGACCTCTGACTCTGACCATGGGCTCTGATTCCTGGCTACCGATTCGAGCGGTCCTGACTCCAGCTCCATCTGCTAGACATGATCACCCATGTTTCTGGTCTCTGACACTAATAGCACACTGCAGCCTTCACTGTAAGATGAGAAAGGTAGTGTAATAACATCAAAGTATTAAGACTGCTGGTGTGCTAGGCCAGGCACCAAGAAATAATGTATGTGCAAGACATGGAGAGAGGAGAAGCAGTAAAACACTAGGTAAACTTAGTAAATTCTCAATAACTTGGCACTCCTGGAAATTGCAAAATCTAAAGTTTATATTAAACACATAAAGGGGACCTTTTCTTCCAGAGTGTAATCAACACATTGAATTCTCTGCCTGAGGAGATACTGGAAAAAGCCACATATAGAGCTTATTTGTATTTGTTTTTTGGATTTGTTGCTCCTTTGTAGATACACTGACATAGAGACACTACACCAGTGTAACAAGTTCCTTGAGCCTGTGTAGCTTTCCTCAGTTTGAAACCCATCTGAAACCAGTTCAGGTCACTTTTTGCAGCAATGTGTCATGTACTCTAGACGTTTGCACCAATATAGCTACATCAGTGTAGCTACACTAGTGTAAAAATTTTAGTGTAAACAAGCCTGTGAGAGCTGGGATTCAAGAAAAAAAAATCACCTGACAGTTACCTCCATATTTCCATATTCAATATAAAAGTGACAAATATAGAAACAGCTTTTCTTTCACTATTTTTAGTAACTTCTTAACTGTACGGAGTATAGAATGAGAGGGAGAACAATTAGCCTAATTTGAGCAAGTTGCTGCTCGGCTCGATCGGCAGCAGTATTCTCACAATATAGAATGATAATGTGCTCCTAGCTGTCCCCTTTCCATGCACCTCTAGTGGATGCCCAGGGAAAAAAGATCAGTTTATACTTTCCAAAAGATGAGATTACTCCAGTGTTGAGGACAAAATTTCTTATCCTCTCAGTAAAATATTGAAAGATGGATCTGAACCAGAATCTTAGATATAGACACACTTTAAATGTGGACTCCGAATGTTCTGGCTCAATCTTAACTCTAGTGCCAATACCACTTAGGATGGTACCACCTGAAAAATTCAGGATTTTAAACATCTAATGTAAGTAATATTCCTGTACATTCTAGCTGACTGGCTTCCCCTATCAAGACAATCAAATGGCAGATACTAGTAAACTTACATGATGCACTTATGATTTGGGATTATGTTTTTCTCATTTCTGATTATGACCTTTAAATGTGAACTGGAAAGTTTTTTGGTTAAAAACAACAAACCATTTATTATCCCAGATCACTAACAGAATATAGATCCATAGATTCCAAGCGTGAAAGAGACCATTGTGATCATCTAGTTCAGTGGTTTTCAACCTGTGGTCTGCAGACTATCTAAGACTTCCAAAGGGGTGTGCACTACTATTTGAAATGTATTAGGTGTCCACAAATGAAAAAAGGTTGAAAATCAATGATCTACTCTGACCTTTGGTATAACATAAGTCATAGAACTTCCCCCAAATAATTCCGAGAGTGTATCTTTCAGAAAAAAAATCCAATCTTGATTTTTAAAATTGCCAGTGATGGTGAATCCACTATGACCCTTGGTAAATTATTACAATGTTAATTACTTGCACTGTTAAAAATTTGTCTTCTTTCCAGGCTGAATTTGTCTAGCTTCAATCTTCAGCCATTGGATCGTGTTTATACCTTTCTCTGCTCGACTGAAGAGACCATTATTAAATATTTGTTCCCCATGTAGATTCATATAGACTGTGATCTAGTCACCCCTTAACCTTCTCTTTGTTAAGCTAAATAGATTGAGCTTCTTTGATTGTCACTATAAGGCAGTGATGGGCAACCTGCGGCCCGTGGGCCGCATGCAGCCCATCAGGGTAATCCGCTGGTGGGCGCCAGACCGTTGGTTTACATTTGCACATCCTCCCGCAGCTCCCAGTGGCTGTGGTTCGCTGCTCCCGGCCAATGGGAGCAGTGGGAAGCAGCAGCCAGGCCCATGCCACTTCCCGCAGTTCCCATTGGCTGGGAGTGGTGAGCTGTGGCCACTGGGAGCTGCGGGTGGATGTACAAATTTAAAGGTTATCCTGACGAGCTGCAGGTTGCCCACTACTGCTATAAGGTATGTTTTCTAATCCTTTAAACATTCTCGAGGCTCTTCTCTGAATCCTCTCCAATTTATCAACATCCTTCTTGAATTGTGGAAACCATATTCCAGCAGCAATCGCACCAGTGCCAAATACAGAGATAAATAACTTCCCTATTCCTGCTTAATATTCCCCTGCTTATGCATCCAAGGATCACATTAGCACTTTTGGCCACAACGTTGCATTGGGAAAGCCTGTTCAACTGATTATCCACCAGGGCCCCTATATCTTTTTCAGAGTAACTGCTTCCCACGATAGAGTCCCCCATGCCGTAAGCATGGCCTACATTCTTTGTTCCTAAATGTATGCATTTACTTTAGCTGCATTAAAATGTTTGCTTGCACCCAGCTACTAAGTGATCTGGATTGCTCTATATCAGTGACCTGTCCTCTTCATGATGTACCATTTTCCCCAATTTTTCTGTCATCTACAAACATTATCAGTGGTGATTTATGTTTTCTTCCTGGACATTAATAAAATTGTTAAGTTACATAGTGCTAAGAACCAGTTCCTGTAGGACCCCTCAGAAAAACACCTGTTGGATGATGATTCTCCCATTTACAATGACTTTTGAGACCTATCAATTAGCAAGCTTTTAATTGTTTAATATGTGCCAGGTTAACGTTATATTCTAGTTTTTTAATCAAAATGTTGTGTGGTTCCAAGTCAAACACCTTACAGAAATCTAAATGCACTACATCAACATAATTCCCTTTTATCAACCAAACTTGTAATCTCATTGGAAAAAGATATCAGCATAGACTTAAACATGGCAAATCAACAATTTTAATTTAAAATGGGATAATCAGCTCTTCTTTTTACTTAGTTAACACCTGAACAGGCTCTGTGTTTCTTTTGTATTAGGCACTGATGATGTTAACTACTATCAGCAAGACGGGAACGGAACTGTATGGCGTTGAAATGCCTGATTCTTTTCTATTTTATTAAAACAAGATATTTCCCAC